AGCAGTCAGGTCATCCCTGTCCTCTTTAGTCCAGAGGACGCAGCGTTTTCCAAAAAACATTTTGGTTCCGATTTCTCTGACCTAAGATCCGTTTTCCACTTTGAGCTTTGGTCCATCGGAGACAGCAGTGTTTGTGGATCAATGTTACAGATGATTCTTATCTGCATGATAGAGCTTTAACCTGCACGTACGGACGGCACTCTGAGCTGTGTTCACACACGGTGATTTGTGAAGTGTTGCATTCTCTCAGTCTGTTGATGATATAATGTACTGTAGACAATGAGATGTTCAGTCTTCACAGTTTAGGAACATTACTGTGTTATTGTAGGATCTTTATCTTACAGTATAGAGAGCCTTCAGGTGACCGTTGCTGTGATTTGGCGCTACATAAATAAAACTGAACTGAATTAAGCTAGTTGCAAAATTTGTAGATACATTTTTCTTCCTATATTTTCTTCTGAGAAAAACTCTTTTTATATCCACTCATGTTACTGACCTGCTGCTAATAAGTCTACTGTATGTTCGTCCAGTTGTGAGTTTAAATAACCGATGTGTTATTATATGACTTAAAGAGATTTTCAAATCACTGGCTTCTGTTTGTATTTACATTTTACACAAAGTCCCAACTTTGGGAGTAACTGAGGTTGACAATGGGAGCACCGAGTTACCTGTGCATCCAGCTCCATAATGTGAGCCACCTTGTTCCAGCCAAAGCCCACAAAGCGGCGGTCATACTCAGGACTGTCCCTCCTCACCATAACATAGGGCTCAAAGTCAGCCTCCCACTGCACTCTGTAGGGAGTGGTGGCTGTCCGCCATTTGGCAAAGTTAGTTGGTGCATGGCCTTTAGTCCACACATGATATCTGTAAGGAGAAAAAAGGAAAGTAGTTTACCAGAGCAGAAATGCACTCTACAGTTCGTAAAGAATTAGGTGGTACTTTGGACACAGGGATGCTAAAAGCTCTTTCTCTAGCGTAGATGTGAAAATTGAGTCTTTTTTATAGAGTTTTTACCCCACTATTCAGACCAAATCATTTATGATGGCAGCACAGTTATCTCCATATATGTGAGTGCCATAAGACCATAAGATAAAAGACGTATTACAGACTTAAGCAAAGTGAATATGACTCAAAGAGCCTTGGGCACCCATAGAGACTGCACACAGGAGTCATGTGTGCAGTCCATGTAGAGTTTTGACCAGTATAGTGTTGCATCTGTACTCACACTAAACATAGGCATATAATTATCTCCATGTCTGTGAGATGAAATTACATTTTCATTAATTTATGTCAAAGTTATTAACATCAGTATTTTGTGAAACCAGCTTCTTATTCTTCTGTTCCAGATGTAAAGCAGAAGGTTTGAGTCACACTGGTTTTACTGGATGTCATGTGTGCCTCATTGCAGCTTTCTGTTAGTGCCACTCATGTCTTATGTCTGCACTGAGCACCCCTGGTCCGCCTTCCCTTCAGAGTAGTGGTGTTCAGACTGCTCTCGTCCTCTGAGTCCACTGACAGAACGTATCTGCGAATCTACTATTCTTTTCTGGTTCACATACCTTCTACGACAGACAGGGACAAACATGTCTAACCTGAAGGTGAAGAGTGTGCCCATGTCCAGCTGAGACAGCAGCTCGGCTTTAGATTTCGGGTATGACAGTCGATACCGAAGTGTCTCAAAGGCGGGAACCACTAGAGCTTTCTTGGTGTTGGCCATGTCCAGCTGCACCACAGACTTCCTGCACATAGACGGTAAGTGATTGTTCACAGTGTCAACGAGGAATGAGATCAACATTTAGAGCTGTCCTTTGGTTTTTACTTAATCATCTTACCTGAGATACTCATAGAGGCTGTACATAGGCAAGAAGTCAATGTCTGATAGGAACATGTAGGGTGTGTTGACGTGTCGCATGGCCACATTTCGTAGCAAGTTGACTGGGTAGAACTGACCCTCCTTGTAGACAATGTGGTAACCGACATTCCCACGACTCATCAGCACCTCAGAGCCCTGAGCATAGCGAAGGAACTGCTGGGCTTCAGCATCTGACAAGTACAGGGCGAGGCTGATGGGGCCTTCCCAGTGCTTACAAATGGCCTCCAACATCTGGAGCCTACAAGACCAGATCACAGGCATAAATGACATCACCAAATAACTTATTATATATAGAGGATATATATATATATATACACATGCATCGCGACTGGAGTATTAGTTTTGTCAGCCAATGACAAAACATCTGCTGTTCTTTCACATTACAGAAAACAGCAGGAGACCTTGCAATGAAATACAACTACTGGATTGCAATATTTGAGATGTTAAAAGGGAAGTCTGCTTGCTAGCTGTGGGCAGTTCTTGTTCTGTTTTGTTCACAATGATTATTCTGAATTGATGGTAGAATAAAAACATGAAAAGTCAATAAAATAATTAAGAAGTCTTTTTTTTATAAACCACATATTTCTGTCACTGGCAACCGCAGTGACTGAGTAGTTGAGAGTGGTGGTTGGAAGTTGCAGGTACTCACTGTGAAATTGATTGGTGAAGCCCAAGTGAGGCAGGCCTAGAGGCTGTCAGTGGTAATTAGGGTAATTAGGAAAAAAATGTGTATTTCCTGACTAGCTGGTGAGTAGTTGCAAGAGGCTGCTTGCTGTAGCAAAGTGGAATTGATTGCAAAGGTGTATAGAGCACTGAACCAAAAACCTCCTTGTATTTGCTTTAGTTGCAAACACATTTCCATGGTTGCCCATAGACAGTATGGAAAACACTGACTGGTCTGCACACAAGAAATGGAGATCATTCCCCTTTAAAGTAAAAGATGAAATTTTTGAAATGTGTTAGTTTCTGTTAGTTAACACTGAAGGCAAAGTTTTGGTTTGACTTGCACTTTTCCAAGTTACGCTACCATTCGGTGGTTAGCTTTTATCGGGGCGACCATGGTTCAGGAGGTTGGTAAGCTCATCTTGTAACTGGAAGGTTACCGGTTCGATCCCCTGCTCTGTCTGTCTTGGTCGTTGTGTCCTTGGGCAAGACACTTCCCCTTCTTGTTGGCCAGAGGGGCCGATGGCGCGATATGGCAGCCTCGCTTCTGCCCCAGTGCAGCTGTGGCTACAACTGTAGCTTGCCTCCCCCAGTGTGTGAGAGTGAATGAATAGTGGAATTGTAAAGTGCTTTGATGGTCTCGAAAAGCTCTAAATGTAATCCATTATTTTAAGTGTCGGCAGACAATTCGATTCAATTTTATAAAAAAAGTGCCAAAACAAAACAACAGTTGCTTCAATACCCTTCAAGACCCTAAAATAATACAAACTGCCATTTTCCATGCAAACTATAACTAACTATGATAATTTACTAGCGGACAAAGCAATCACAAGGATGTTTTCAGTGCAGCATCGTCTTTGCAGCCAATTTCACCAAACCACAGGGAGCAACCTCCAGCAACCACTCAGCAGCCATCAGGAAATATTCATTTTCCTCTAGCGACCAGATGTTGCCAGGGGTTCAGACTGGTTTTGATTTTGTTAGTAAGCAAGTAAAGAATTTTAATGCTCCATCCACTACATGTATGTTATACAGTCAGTTGTTGATTGTTTTACTATGTTGATGTATTGTCTACTTTGCTACCAGTCAATATTTTTGCAAGCATTCCCCATCATGAAGATGTGAAAATAAACCTTTTTAATGCCACTATATTGCCTTGATCCAGATTATTGCTGAATAAGAGATGAACTGATCTCACTTTCTGATGTTAATCAAGGACACTTTTAAACTCTAAAATTATTAACCTAGAAGCTCAGAAGTTCTGGGGGTAGTCATTTTTACTGACTGTTAAATACTTTTCCCTGGTCTATGGTTTTAAAAACACAAAACTGCAGAGTACAGGCCGAATGGCTAACCTTTCAGGTAGGTTTGGGTATTTGACAGTATGACAAAAGCTGCAAACTGAAAAAGAGCTGTTACCGGAAGGATGTTTGCTTCTGCTTTTTAAGTATCCTAGTATTCTTTGGTAGTGCAGGACTATATATATGTATAAACCATTAAACCATGTAAATATATTTCTCCCCCAATGTCATACCTAAGAGGTTTGCTCCTTCGATCTTCATCAGTCAACAGATTCGCCAACACAGCTGTTTATTGTGGGTTTTTTCTAACCAGGAGCAGCTCTAATATGTTTTTTCTTAACATTTTCAATGTTCTAAAACCTCTGGAAGCCTTCCACTTCATTGTTCTGCCCACTTTGAACTAAACACACCTGTGTAGCTTCTGTAAGTGTGGGTGTAAACCAGCACCTGTCCATAGAGAGCTGGGCGACGAGAGTGACATCTGTGTTGTCAGAGCTGGGTTTATACTCATAGTGCAGGAAGTAGAGGTGTGTTCGATGGACAGTGAATCGCTCTCGACGAAACTCGTAGCACGGATCATCTTCATCCAGCTCTGACAGTGTCTTCTGGAGCTGCAGATAGAGAAAGATAGGAAGAATAAGACAGATTATAGACCAGAGAGACAGAATCTCAACAACAACAAAAAAACTAGACAAAACATGCATGTCACTGAGTGAAATAAGTATTTGATCCCCAAACAAAACATGTCTAGTACTTGATGGGGAAACCCTTTTTGCTGGTAATTCTCGTAGTTTGGACACATCTCAGGAGGGATTTTGTGTTACCAATGGTAGTCATGGTGACTGTGAGCTGCATTCATCTGCCTTCAGATGATTAACAAGCTCCTCCTGTGTAGTTCTGGGCTCATCCACCACCTCACTCTTAACCATCCTCACCCTACGAGGCAAGATCTTGCAAGGGACTGTGGCTGCAAGGTGGTTGGTATCTATGGGAGTGGTAATCCCTGAACCATATGGTGGACAGAGGTGAAAGGAGCACTCAAGCTGAAGGAGGAGTCTTATCAGTGTTGGTTAATTCAATTCAGTTTTATTTATACTGTGCCAAGTCACAACAACAAGGCCCTTTGAATTGTAAGGTAAAGACCCTACAATAATAAAGAGAAAACCCCAAAAATCATATGATGAGAGTGGGAAGGAAAAACCTGGCATAACCAGGCTCAGGGAGGGTGACACGGTACTGTGAGGCCTGATTACTTAAGACAGGGAGCCAATGAAGAGATGCCAGTATAGGAAAAATATGCTCTCTCTGTCTATTCACCGTCAGTACTCTTGCTGCAGCATTTTGGATTAACTGAAGGGAGTTTTTAAGACAACTTATAATAACAAATTACAATAATTCAGTCTAAAATTAATAAATGAATACACTAGTGTGTCAGTGTCACATGATTTTAGAGATCTTGCACAAATGAAGGAAAGCAGTCCCACATATTTGTATGTGCATTGAAGGACATATCCTGATCAAAAACGATACAAAGTTTCCTTTCAGTGTTACTGGAGGCCAAGGTAATGCCATCCAGCTTTGTAGTACAACACTCGTCAAAGGACAAGTGTTGTACTACAAAGCAAACAGGGATGACAGACTAAGGTTGGTGTTCCCACAGCAGCAGCGGGAGCAAGTTTTAAGATTGGGGCATATTATTCCACGGGTGGGGCATCTGGGAACTAAGAAGACAAGGGACCGAATTGCCAGCAGGTTCTATTAGCCAGGTATGAACAGAGAGGTTGAGGAGTTTTTCTTGCTCAATCTGTCAGCTGGCTGGTGATAAAAATGTCCCAAAAATTCCTTTAAAGCCTTTACCTGTTATTGATGTTCCATTCAGTTGCATTGCAATGGATATAGTGTGGCCGCTAGAGTGAACCCAGGCAGGTAATCGCTATATATTAGTGGTTTGTGACTACAGTACCAGATATCCAGAAGCATTTCCCCTTAGGGAAATTACAGCTAAACAGACAGCTTATGCTCTCTTGCAGGTTTTTTTCCCAGGTGGATACTCCATCTGAGATTTTGACAGATGATGGTTTTGAGTTTCTTTTGCATACCCTGAGGCAGGTGTATAAGCTTTAAGGTATTAGCAGTATTTAGACCCCCAAACAGATGGCTTGGTGGAGAGATACAATCGAACTCTGAAAGCAATGTTGAAGAATTTAATCTCAGCTGATGCTAAAGATTGGGACATGTGGCTTCCTGATTGGCTGTTCGCTTATAGGGAAGTGCCTCAAGCATGAACCGGCTTTTCACCTTTTTCACCTGCTCCTGTATGGCAGGCAGGTGAGAGGACCATTGGATGTTCTGCAGGAATCCTGGGTGAGGCCGAGGAAAGAGGTGACGAGCGTGTTGGACTACATTCTTCAGATGAGGGAGAAAATGGAGCAAAACACCAAATTGGTGAAGAGGCATATGCAGAGTACTGTTACAACAGGGCTGCAAGGGAGAGCTCGTTCAGCCAAGGACAGCAGGTACTCTTAATACTTCCTACTGCTGAAAACAAATTGTTGGCTAAATGGCAAGGTGCTGTGCTAAGAAAGCAGTTCAACAACTCATGAGATCCAGATGCCAGAGAGAAGAAATCCAAAACAAATTTCACATCAATCAGCTAAAGCAGGGGTGGGCAACTCCAGGCCTCGAGGGGCTGGTGTCCTGCAGGTTTTAGATATCACCCTGGGTCAACACACCTGAATCAAATAATTAGTTCATTAGCAGGCCTCTGGAGAACTACAACACATGCTGAGGAGGTAATTTAGCCATTTAAAGCAGCTGTGTTGGATCAAGGAAACATCTAAAACCTGCAGGACACCGGCCCTTGAGGCCTGGAGTTGCCCACCCCTGAGCTAAAGGAATGGAAAACCCAGAATAATCCAATCCAGCAGCAGTTGTTCGTGCAAACTGTGGCTGAGGAGGATGATATCAATGAGGAATTTATACCTGTTGGGCTTAACTCTGCCTCTCTTGACCTCTCCCATCTCTCTGTAACTCAGCAGGAGAAGCTGCATGCCATTATTCCTGCCAAGTTATTTTTAAGAAGAAACCAGGGATGAGAAACCTTGTGGAGCCTGACATCTGCCTGAAAGAGAGTACACCAATATGGCAGAGAATGTACAGGATTGGAGTTTTGGAGAAGTAGGTAGCTCTGATATTGGATTTGGGGGTTACTGAGCCCCCAACCAGTGAATGGAGCAATCCTATTGTGATGGTAAAAGTTGTAATTGTAAAAGAAATTGAAATTTCGTTTAAACTCTGTTCCAGTGAAAATAAAAGCATTCTAAACTCAAATGGATTCCTTGGAAAGAAAAGTTTCACGATCTCCACCAATCCATAAATTAATTTGTTTTCAACTGACAGCATGGCAAGAGCATTTAACCTCTGCTGTCCCATGGTGTTGCATGTGAAGGTCTTAATTCTTTTCCACTTTATAATCACTTCTGCTGAATCAAGCAGAAGCTTTTCA